AGATTAGACTGTATTTATTTATTTATTTTTAACATAAATTAACTCTTCTTTATTAAATATCAAGTTTCGAGAAGGAAAATATTAAATTTTTATTTTTTGTATAAACTTATTCTGATTAGTATAATTAGTAAGTTATATTTAACAGACCTTTTGCTGTATTAGATTATTTGGTCTTGTTAAATCTTATTTATCTTAGACAAGTTCGACAGATCTAAATAAGCGCTAGATCATAATTCACACGTAAACTGGATCTTATCAACTCAAAATGATCCATTTAAAATTTGATTATCAAGTTTTATCCAATTAAAAAACATGTCTTTTGTCTCAAATTAGAGCTGGAATAATCTCTTTTAATAATCTTAAATAACTTCTATGAATTTTAAACTATAAGGAATGAGGTTTTATGGGCGAATTTACTTACTTTTCTGCAAATTATTCAAATGTTAGCAAGTTGGCCTAGGATGAAAGTACTACACAAGCTATGATATTTACGACGCTAGCGCTAGAATTTAACCTTTTTTCCTCTAATTAGACGATTATATAGTCAATATATATCACGGAAATAGATTAACCATCAAATTAGAACAAGGTCGAATACCAAAAAAGATTTAAAGCTAACACAAAAAGAGTTCGATCGATGTTGTAACTTAGCAAAGAGATGGGCGAGGACATTATGTGGGCAGTAATGAAAATGATTGAAAGAAGAACTCAATTAATAACCATTGCTGTCAGATCACAAAGAGAACTTCTTATCGGGACCACATGAATTACTCGAACATGTAGATAGAGGAATAATTGGAAGGTTCGAGGCACACCCCACCCGTTAGTTTTTCTTACAGGTCTACCACCCCTCCCCGATCAGAATAGTGTTCTTAGTAGAAAGTGCCACCTTTGGCAGCACACAGTTGCGTTATCTCTTCCCCAGAGGCGGGCACTTGTAGACTCGGGCAACCCATTTATATTCATTAAGGTGACTGCAATGTCGTTTATGTACCAATTATCGTTAATGTTTAATTCCAAAAATCATGATGTGCTCGACATGTAACATACCGACCAGGCCGTATTTGAAAATTAGGCTGCTGGATTTAATGTCTCTTGTGCGGTAACAAGAAATCGCAATTGCTCTTTGGGACAAAAATACCGAATGTTACTGATTGATATGGTCCTCCAGAGACAAAATTTGTTTTTATTAAAGCCTCTCGTTCTTTGCTAAGAGTTTCTCGGCCGTCTAATTGATAAAAATAATGCAATTCGATTCTATATTTTATGAGAAAAATTACGCCTAATTTATTTCTGTATAAGAATTACTCAAATTATTTTATTGCTTCTCAATTTTTTAAATAACATAAATTTAGAATTATTCCTTTAAAACTGTAAAGAATATGTAACTTTATTATCAGTTTTATAATCTGAAGACTCACTCTATGAAATATACCTGCAAATTTATCAAAAATATAAGGACTATTATTAGAGAAAAATGAAGAACTTAACATGAAAATATAAATAACTTCTGATTGCTAAATCAGCAAAGTATAAACTGGTATAAAGTGTGAAGGAGTAGCCTATATAAACTAAATAAGTTGTAATTTCAAAGGCATTACTCACAAAAATCAATTAATTTTATAATACGATCAATTAAAATCACAGTGTTTCGAGTCATCAATTTTTATATCGTGCATACTTACGTTCTGTATCGTATCAGATACGGATGGAAGCATTTAGCGACTAATTTTCGCCCATTGTACAAGTGTTGACAAGTCAACACGCAACAAATCTATTAATTAACTTATAAAAAATTTATTTTTTTCTTGTAAAGTGTTAATCATTAAAATTAATTAATAATATTGCTAGATATATCAGGATTTCGATTAGAGTTTTAGTCATATTTTCAACACGCAATACTCGTAAACCTTTACGCTAAAAACCAGGTGTCCCTATCAGTAGGGAGTCATTACAAACATCCTGTATTTTAACTAGTTGTTTAGAGGTGGGAAAATTGTTGTACGTGTAAAAACAGTACGTTAGACAATAGTGTATAAATTTTATGTCATGAATCAGAGATTTATTCAAAGTGTCATCCACAGGAAGCTTGTTAGGTTTGACATGAGATGAAATGAGAGAGCTGTGTGTCAGATACGGATATACAGATAATATCGCATTTTGTGAATGTAGACATCCCACTCTCCTGTCTGTTCTGCTAGCAAAGCAAAATTGACAAATGTCAAGAACAATCTCTTTTTCCACTTCCCAAAAACATTTATTTTCACATGAATAACTCAGAAACTTTTTTAATTAATTAATTAATTTCTGCATATAATTCCATTTTAAATAAGTTAAAAACACTTCTCTGGCTTTTACTTTTTGCTATTACATCACTGTTTTTACTAAACATATTAATTACCTAAGATGATAAGAGAATTTTTGAAGTGACACTCGATAAATTTAACGCTAACGCGTTTAGGGACGTAGAAAACACCCCCGCAACCCCGCAGAGCGGGAGAACCCATAGGAGAGAGGGTGATGGGGTGCATTTATAATACATTTCATCTGTTACGTTCTTCTGATCTAGAAGTGTTAAATTCGAACTTCACATCTCTTCTCCAGTAAATTAACCATTTTCTTAGAGAATTGTACTACTTTTCAAGCAGTTATCACCATTTGAATTAAATATTTTTAAAATTATGTATCATCTGTTAATCTTCATGCAAAATAAGAAACATGGCCAATTAAAAGTTAAAAATGGCTTCCATAATATATCGACATCAAAGATTTTTAGTTATAATTTTATTAAATATAATTGATATATCCAAAAATAAACGTGTTACTTCTATGAAACTAGAAGAATTTCTCTGTACGTAGACTCTAAGTGACAATTAAATGGAGATAAAAGTAATCAATAACGTTTAGTTATAGGCCTACTCTCACGGCAGAAAGTTTTCTTACTAATCTCGATATTACGCTCTTTCTCCGTAAGAAAAAAATAGTTTATTTAATATATATTTCATTTTAGCATCTACATTTTATCTTATTGTCGATTTTATATTTAATATTTTCAATACCGAAAGCGAAAACAAACAATAAATATAGTTTCTAGATATACTTAGGCCTACGTATATGGATTATATATACCAAGTTTGGCAATTTATATACATTTTAATCTCTAATTTACGTTTCTTTTAAGCTCTCAAACTTTAAAACTTGTGTGTAGACCTCATTGTTTTATCGTTCGAGGTTTTTCGGTTTAGCGCTTCATTCGAATTAGTTTCAATTTCGGTGGCGCTATATCGGGGTTTGACTGTATATTAATTCTAATTAAAGAAAAATTAGTTCTTTTTTTCCGTAGCCACATTGAACGTTTGTTATTTACGGTGAAAGTTATTTTAGTCTATATAAAAATATGACTAAGAGGATAGATTTACCCCGAATAACCTGCGCATTATATAGTATATAAAAAAACATTCTCTTCACGATTTTAAAATTTAAAAGTTATAAAGATAAGTTAACTTTCAAGAAGTTAAATACAGTAACTAGCATTTTAGATTTTTAAAGTCATATTTTAATAATTTGAATAGCGGAGAAGACCATCCGTTTTTCCAAATATTGTCATGATTTACGATAACGTTCTATCTGTCGTCTTGCCACCGTATAGGTCCAAAATATGGTTTCAACGGGGGGGGGAAGCTTTTTTCCACTCCTTTCCTATTGATATATGGCTGAAGGTGCAAATCAAATGAACGTTACATAGGGGAGGCACGAATTTTAAGTCACTGCCGGAAATCGAACTGATTTATTAGCATACGTGATCGGTTCGTGTCGTATAGAACCCGGTTTAAAGTATTGCCTAATAACAATAATAAAAATTTAATCGTGCTAATTCATCATTTATGAGTGTTTTATTTCGATATAAGTTTGAATGGTAGAGATCCGGAATAGCTTAAGCTACTTAAAACATCCTAAACTACTTAAACTCGCTCTGCCATTTTCTCTCTCATTTTTGTTTTTAACCACTTTAGATTTATTCCCTCGACTTCTATCGAAATTTTGCTGCTGTTACTAGGCGTGTAACTCATTCATTTTAATGTCAAAGTTGTCTTGAATTTTAGAAATTATTTTCTTCCTTCCAACATAATGTTTACTCGAACTTCGTCTCGAAGAGTCTAGGCCTATCTTCGCTACAGTGTTTTCATCGTACGATGAAAAATAGTACGTTCTATATTAGACATTATCTTTGGATAATTAATTATCTGTTGTTAAAAGATTCCTTAAAGTTTGTCTAGCCTCAAGATTACTAGCTAACAAGATATGTGGAGGGTCGTTGAGTTATTTTCGTCCACAAAATTCGTCAAGCAAATTAAGCGCAATATTTAGAATGACTAGACTTAAAATATTTGGAAATCTTCGATAAACTAGCGTGACATTTTTGGTAAATCCAGGAAATGACTTTATTTTGGTGGTGTATTTAGGTAAATAAATGTCTAGAATTTAATTAAAAGTTTACATAAGTATGTAAACTTTTAATTGGCTCATGCAAAAACAAAATGGTCGTGTAAAAGACCGAAATAATTACCTAAGCCATTTTTAATATGTGTTAAAAATTGGCTTATATAATCGAACTTAAGACATTTATAATTAACAACTATTCTTTTCATTTCTCGATTTTTAATTAAATTTAAATGTAATTTTTGTTTAACATCTAACAAATTTGATTAAGGATTAATATAAAGTAAACCTTAAAATACAATAAAAGAATATTTAATTATAGTTATTAAGGAGTTTGAGAATTAATATTTAAAGTTTAATCAGAAGTTTGTTTTATGGTCGTAACGATCCCCTGGTAGTGTCACATAGTTTTAACAGAATGAAATCTCAGCCAAGACAGTTATTGAGGAGAGTGGTTCTGCAGTAAGTTATCCAATTAGTCTTCAGGGCACGCCTACGTTACGTCGGCAGGCGACACCTGCCGTTGGGGTACAGTTGTACTGTCTTTCAACATCCTGTAGCAGCATAGAAGTTTCGGTTGTAACTCGCCCGCCACCACCACTCGTGACTACATTATTTTATATGGTTTTCCCTTTATTATAGAGGTTAGTCTATATTTCTTTTAATATACTTCTAACCATTATTTATAAAAAAATACATCGCGCGTAATAAAACATATACGTAATATAAGACACGATAACATAAAACTATAACTTACTCCTTATCAAGACTGTAAGCTTAGATAATGCGGATTAACTGGATCCAAGTTTAAATTAGCATTTAAATCGGATACGAAAACGTTTCTGTATACAATACAAGTAACATTTATTGAATTTACTGTATTTCGTAACCCGTAAAGTAAGATCGGTAGAAGTAAGATGGCCACCCGAAACAAATGAAACTACGTCAATTACCGTAAATTAATTCCCGTGATTATTAAATTCGCCTGTTTTTTTTTTTTTAATATTAAAAAGGACCATCAAATTTCTTATAGTTCGTTTCTCCGTCACGAGAGGCGCTCGGTGAAAAGATCGGAAAATAGGAATGACTTATAGGAGCAATTGACTGTTGATTACCGGTAGCCGGTGTAGCTAAATGTAGATTTATGTGGAAACATTTTACCTAGGCTAATTAACTCAATCGTTTCTTGCAGTTAATGATTGTCACGTCCTTTTAACAGAATCTTCCGTTTCTCAGCAATTAAAGCGGGGAAAAAAACCGATTTCTTTTTAAGAATATTTCTAATATTGAAAACTGTTAACTTTATTTATTTAGACAAATTTAATAATTTTCTATCAAAAACCATAAATCTTTTGAACTCTTTACGACAAAAACAAAGGAAATTTTGTAAGTTTTTTTTTTTTTTTTTTTTTTTAATGTTAGTAGGGAGCGAATTTTTTCGGTTTGATCTAAGTCTAGCTTCTATCTACAATGCCTGTCTGTTCGGGGGTACTTTTCCTTAGCTACTCGAGCAGTGTGGTCTTGTCACTTTCTACTGTGTATGATATAGAACAGACTATATTTCCACTGCTTAATTTTTAAGTTGATATTAATGGCATGCTTAGAATTCCTTTCTTTATTACTATAGATCTATAGTTTGGTAGAACATGTGTTCCGAGAAGTTACATTCAGAGAATCGGTGTAATTTAAAGACATTCGCTACTCTTTTTTTTAAAGTTCTCTAATGTAACTTAAGACTTTAACTGATTTTGATACGAAATTTTCTCGATTTTCATAAACTTTAAAGAGAAATTAAGGTGTAACTTTTCAATAATTTCTTACACGCTACATTAATTTTAACAAAGCGCTTCTAAAGTTCATCTCCAACGCCTGAACTGGCATCCTATGTTAAATATGTTAAGTAATTTATCACAGCAATTTTCTGCTAATTTTAAATAAGTGAAAAACATAACTAAAATTACATTATTAATATTAGAGTAATATTATTTTCTGTTCTTTAATTCGATCTTTAGCAGTGTAACCTTTAGAAACATTAAAATTCACTTAATAAATGAATTCTGTAGACTATATTTTAGATTTTAACTAATTAAATACGGAATTTATCAGTTTAAACGTATACTTTTCATAACGACCTTCATAATTTTCTATTTTTTAAGAAGAAAACTGCTTATTTGTGTGCTTAGTATCGATCTCGAAGTGAATATATCCTTAAATTTTTGTAAAAGGTTAAAATAAGTTGAAAGGTCAAAGTATTTTACTCATTAAAGCTCTCAAAGGTTAATATATTAATGTTTGAATGCTGTGTAACGTACGGTAGATATTTTTATTTTAAAATCTATTCACTAGATGGAGACACTATTCATAGCTAGACGTGGAAGAAAAGCAAATTTACAGGAGCAAACTACTAATTATCTTACTCTATAAAACTGCTTTCTGTTATTTAGTATAGAAAAATATATTTTTATTATTATAAAGAACATTTAAACGCGAGTTTTTCACGTTATTTCGTGATTAGGTATTAAAAACTGACGATTTACCCGATAATTTTGCTTACACGAATGGCTTATTTGCGTTAAAACGAAGTATAAGTTGTAGTTGTTATATTATAACGGAGTGGAATTCGATCATACTATCAAAGGCCGTTAAAATTATACTGTTTTAACGCCTGCTACGTAATTTCCAGCACTGGTGTTGTAAAGTGTTGATTGGTTAATTAAAACTGTTGCCGGTTCCAATGCATCACCCACACTTTATGTAGGCCCATTAACGCTAGCTTTTATATCGCACTAGACTGTCATAAAAGGACTAGAGTCCAATTATGCCGACGATTTCACTAAATGGATGAATGACGTAGCGTACTTTATGTCTTCTTTCTATAACTTAGCCAAAATCCTATTGGATAAGAGAAATTTCCTTTAAAGATTCGACGTCTTCCTATTGAAATTTAAGTTTAAAAATCTATTTTTTTTTAAATATTATTTGCGCGAAAACTTTATCAAGAACTTAAAGACGTTAATAGCAATTCTCACCTTTTTTAATGCGTTTATTTCTAGTCGTAGAATTTGTGATGAAATTTTTATCTGTATTGATTGAGATATAATGAGTTTTCCCAGCTAAAATAATTAGGATAATAGTTTGGGAATATTATTCTTGCAATCTTGTTAGGTTCTTGTAGGGTAGACGTGACAAACAATGGAGAACGATAACCTCTTCTTACTGTCATCATACACGTTTCTTAGACGTTATTTATCCACAACCTTCTTTTGTATACACATTTAACGGTCTATAATTTCTTTATCATAGTACCGGTGGGTCACTTGTCAACTGCTAGCCTTTGTCAGCTGGACAACAGGACACCGATTTCGTACATCAACATCGGCAGTAATGCCCCTTTTCTAGGAGGAGAGAGCGATTTGTGAATAGAGATGATGCCATAAAAACGAATTTCATTAAAAAAGAAACTTTGTTATACATCTATAAATTATATCTACAAGACTTTTACTTCTGATCTCATTCGATGTTTTGACAAAAGCTTCTCCTCACTTCCCAGAAAAGTTTGAAATTTTCTAGAAAAGATGCATTCCTGATGCTGCAATTTCGAGAAGCTCTATTTGTCTTCCTATATTTTCGAACAGAATTGAAAATTAATGCATACACTTTGGTGTTTAGATGGTGACTAATAATAGAAGGATAGACAAACCAACGAACTGAACGAAACTAATTGGTAGTTCCGAAAATATTTCATGAAAATAAATTGATCGAACGAAGCAATTAAACTAATTAATTGTAATAAAATAAAAATAAAGATATTGCCTTTCAAAAGGGCTTATTTTTCATTAAAGACGAAGAAAAATGATAAATTTCATCAAAGTTTTTATGTAGTTTATCGCAAACTTTCCGTAAATGAACATTTATTATAGTTAAATAACATATGTTATGAAGTAAATCATTATTTAGACTTAAAAGTAGGAGTAATTGTTTATATATGCGGAGTACCGTAGCTAGTTTTAATAGAATTGGCCTCCAAGAATACTTCTCTTAGAACTAGACACGACTACTGATGGTCTGTTGAGGGGTCGCAGGCAACTCGTTGGCCAGTGAGATCACGTAAGCAAAATCTGACACGTGTCGTACAACAGGTGGTAGAAATACAAAGAATGGAGACACCTGTACGAACTTTGAAATTAACTTTAGGCCACACAGGTTAACGTTTACGGAATTATAGGATTCGATATAATTAGTCTCTTGACACCCGAGTTAAATTATACGACCCGTAGGGCAAAAATATATAACATTTGCTGTAGGAAATATAGTTATGACGTTTTGAAAATTGATAATAAATTTAAAAAAAAGTAACTATTTTTTGCCCCTAAGTTATAAATAAATTCGACATTCGAACGCAATTTTGTCTGCTTTTTTTTATTTTTTTAATCGTTTCCACGAAATTTTATCTGCTTGTCAGAGCAGCGAGATTAGTCGGTCGATCGTAGAGTCTACTTCAAAAAATCTCTAACATGTCCCCCCCATCTCATAACCATTTTTAAATTATTGATCACAAGCAGATGGTAGTAAGGTATTGGGTGTGGTCGCGGAATATGTCAGAAAAACTAAAAATCGAAGATGTTTTTACCCCCTTATGACTATCTTTTCTTCTATAGCATGTCATCAATAATACAAGAAGAAATCGAAGAATTTTCTTACTGTTTATTAATTAGAAGGAATAAAAAGCAAACAATAGGACAACACCCTGGAAATTACTCGTACTAAACCGCCATCCATTAGAATTGTATTCGAATTAACGAAAGTTGGAACGTTTGCTCTTATAAAACAGGATAAAAAAAGGATTAATTTAAACAAATTAAAGTCTATATTTTCTTCAAATATCTAAATATTTTTTTTAATTTTAAAAAAACAACTGCTTTTATTTATAGATAAAGCAGATAATAGACAATAGATACAAGCCTACAGTAAGGAATTAGTAGATTAATTCTTTATCGATATATCAAATAACACAATATAAAATTAATTTACAAAATAAAGCTGTAAATTATACTTTCGTGAATTTTTTATGGTGTTTTATGTTAAATGATAAAGCTATAAAGTGACATAACTTGCGCCTTCTTATAAATAGATCTACGTTATTTAGCGTAGTATAAATTAAACTATTCATAAACTTGTATAAGATCTATAGAAAATATAAAATGGAAGTGTGCTAGGTCATCTAATAAGCTTTAAATTGAGTGTAGATAGGCCATAATACATTTTACTGATAGGCCTACAATGTTAAATATAGTTGATTTATGCCACGTTTAAGTTCTATATTATAATAATGTAACAGCTTGCTTTTTTTAATTAATTGTAGNGTCATATTAAATAATTAAAATAGAAATTATAAACTTGTAAACTGAAACTCTCACATTCACTTTACAATATGTTTGTTCCAACACAAGTCCCTAACTGGTTTAAATTTGAAACTGTATGAGGCATATGCAATATCATTTTACAGCCAAGAACTGAACAATGCGCATGCCAGTTTTAAACCAGTTAGGGACTTGTGTTGGAACAAACCTAATATTTGCAAGTTAGAATTTTAAAAGTACATTTTCTGTCACTCAGCCTAAGCATAAGATAGGGATAAGAAAGT